AATTAAGTGAACATTTTTCTAACAGTTCCATAGCCTCCTGAAGATAAGTACAGACGTACCTGTACCGATCCGCGAGACTCTAATAAACCTGCTTGTGGCTCATAACACCTATGAACCTAGAGCTCTGATACCAACTTGTCACGACCCCAAATTCACCCTCCGTAGGATGTCGTGATGGCACCCAGTCTCTAAGACTAGGTAAGCCTAATAATTTTTGCAGAAATACATAAAATAAAATTGAAGCCAAATTCTCAACATATGAAATAAATATAAAACTGCATTCCAAAAATTTCAACTCCCAAAACCCGGTAGAAATAAGTCACAAGCTTCTAAGAATTTATTCTGAGTGTTTCAATACATCAGAGTCTAAAGAGAAATTAGGAACACAACATAATAAGGATAGATGGGAACTCCGAGGTCTGCGGACGCTGGCAGATGCACTTTGAAGTCTCCGTATACAACTAGTTCACTGATACCTGGTCTGGTAGGAAGTACCTGGATCTGCACAAAAAGATGTGCAGAAGCGTAGTATGAGTACACCTCAACGGTACCCAGTAAGTTCCAAGCCTAACCTCGGTAGAGTAGTGACGAGGTCAGGTCAGGCCATACTAGAATTAATAGTAAATAAGGCAGAAATTTATAATAGGGTAATGAAGTGATTGAGAAATAAACAAAATTTACAGAAAGATAACAACACAACAATTAGAGGTAAACAACATGGGCGCTCCCGAGGTACCATCTCGTAGTCCCAAAAGTAAATATGCAGTACAAGCGGATCTCCCGAGGAACCGCCTCATAGTCCCAAAAGTAAATATGCAGTACAAGGGGTATCTCCCGATGAACCACCTCGTAGTCCCAAAAGTAAATATCCAGTACAAGGAGATCTCCAGAGGAATCGTCTCGTAGTCCCAAAAGTAAATATGTAGTACAGGGAATTTCCCGAGAAACTGCCTTGTAGTCCCAAAATAAATATGCAGTAGGTAATTGTAGGAACAACAATTTTTTCAGCAATAAATCTTACAGTTAAAGATTTAAATCAAATCGAGGAAAGCAGGTAATTCAGCTAAGCATGTTACACATATTGCAAGTAAGAGTTAAGGCACGTAGACATGTGATATTAGGCTAACAATGATCACTACATATACTAAGGCAACTTAGTTAAAGAATTTAAAAGAAGATTACTCAGCAATAACCGATATTTCCAAATTTAGCTTGTGTACGCACTCGTCACCTCGCGCACACGACGTTCACATATCACAAATGGTTACAACAGTATCAAATCTTAGGGGAATTTCCCCCACACAGGGTTAGACAAGCCACTTAGCTCAAATCACGCTCAATCAATCAAGTAGACTGCCTTTCCCTCGATTTTCCGACTCTGATCGGCTCGAATCTAGTCATAATTAATTCAATTTAGTCAATACAAATTCTAGGAATAAATTCCATATAAAAACACAAATTTTCCAACAAAAATCAGAAATTTAACTCAAAAATCGTTCGTGGGACCCACGTATCGGAACTCGATAAAAGTTAAAAAAAATATGAATGTCCATTCAACTACGAGTCCAACCATACTAAAACTATCCAAATCCGATATCAACTCGACCTCCAAATCATCAAATCTTATTTCCAAATCCCTAGGCTCAAATCCCCGATTTACACCTCAAAAATACGTAATCTAGTCGGATTATTCGATGATAATTCAATATTATGGAGTAGAAATGATCACAGGTAACTTACCCCAAGAATCCCCGTGAAAACCTCGCTCAAAATCGCCCAGCCCGAGCTTGAAATGCCCAAAAATGGTAAAAACTCGAAACCCCTCTGTTTTTGCACTGTCTAGGAGTTTCCGTTTCTGCGAGATTTTTAGCCGCATCTGCGGCCTCATCGCTTATGCGGACAAGAAGTCCGCTTCTGAGAGAAGGTGTCCGCTTCTGCGTAGTTGCCTAGCCCCCTCATTTCCGCTTCTGCGATCGAACCTTCGCAGGTGCGACACCGCTTCTGCGGACCACCCGTCCGCACCTGCGACCACTGCCTCACCAGCCTCTCGTCCGCTTATGCGCTTGCCATGCTCGCTTCTGCGAGCTCGCACATGCAAGCCAATCTCCGCAGGTGCGATTGTATCAGATGGCATAAACTTTTAGATTTTTCTTCTAAGTCCGAACTTGATCTGTTAACCATTCGAAACTCACCTGAGGCCCCCGAGACTTCAACTAAATACACCAACAACTCCTAAATTATCATACGAACTTAGTCGAGCCTTCAAATCACATCAAAGAAACGTTAAAATCACAAATCATACCCCAATTCAAGCCTAATGAACTTTTAAAATTTTAAATTTGTACAAACGACGCCTGAACCTATCAATTCACGTCCGATTGACCTCAAATTTTGCACACAAGTCATAAATGATATAACAGACCTATTCAAATTCCCAGAATCGGATTCCGACCCCGATATCAAAAGTCACCTCCCGGTCAAACTTCCCAAAAATTCAACTTTCGTCATTTCAAGCCAAATTTCACTATAGACTTCCAAAATAATTTTCCGGACACGCTCCTAAGTCCAAAATCACCACACGGAGCTATTGGAACCATCAAAACTTTATTTCGGGGTCTTTTACACATAGGTCAACATCCGATCACTATTTCAACTTAAGCTTCAAACCTTAGAACTAAGTGTTCCAATTCATTCCAAAAACTCACCGGACCCGAATTAATTACCCCGACAAGTCACATAACAGATGTAAAAGCATAATTTGAGCAGTAAATGGGGAAACAGGGTTGTAATATTCAAAACGACCGATCGAGTCGTTACAGATGTGTTTGTTCGCTTATCCTCATGTTTATTATTCGAGCTAATTGATATTTTTCGGTAAATTGTTCTAAGGTACGTTACGAATGTGGCCATGACTATCGATATTAATTTTCTTATGCTTACCCCTTAGTAAGTGCTGGGACATATGTTATTGTCATGATAAAATAACGTAAACAGTAGAAAGGAATGGAACCTGTAAACTAAATTAATATATTGGTCATGTGTTGTTCACAAGCAATTTGGTGTGCACTGATGGCATAATTAATTAAATTATTTTTTTATCTCAAATAAATGGTTTTAAATGGTATGTGGTGTAAATTTTATTTCTTTATATAAGTTTCATAATTGTGACATCAATTTATTTTATTGATATTATCTAATGATATCTGAATTCAATACAAAGTCTACTTGATTATGATAAGTCTTACGGTCTTATCGTAATCAATTTCAATACGGACATATTTAGTTTTTTGTTGAGTTAAAACATATTTGGTTCATTATAATTAAGCTAAAATCTACACATTAGAACAATTTTATAAAAGCTAATCTTAATTAATTTTGAAGTCCTGCATATTAAGATTTTATGTATCTATATCTATATCTATATTTATATTAAAAACACGAAGGCCCTTAGAAAAATATCGTTCGCCTTTTTTACCCTTTAAAAATATATTTTGCATTGGATAAAATTATAATTTAAATTACTTTCCTAATATTTAGGAATTTAGAATCAACTCAAATTTTACTTATTAGATCTTTCCTTATTAAACTAGGTAAAAGTCCTAATATTTAGAACTTTAAATTCCATTAGCATTTTACCTTATATAAATTGTGGTAATTGAAAACAAAGCCATATAAGTAATATTTAGACGCTTAACGTGATGATCATATTTTATTACATCATCACCAAAGAGAAAACATAAAAATAGATTCATGGAAAGTACATGAAGCACGTAAAATTGTTGAGAGCAAAGCAATTAAATATGCATTTTAAAATTCTTACCGTAGTTATACAAATAATTAATTCATATACAATTAAGCCTAAAAAATAATTAATTCATGTACAATTAATCTATTGTGTTATTTGAATTTTTTTGAAGAATCGTAATAAAATTATAGCTAATCCAATCTATTTGTGTCTCTTCGAATGAATTTGAGAATAACTTTTCAAAAAGTATCTTTAGAAAAACTCTTAAATCTTTAAGGGCTATATGTTCTTGCCGAAACTAAAAAGGAAATATGGCAACATGTGAAATTGAACGCGCGCAAAGCGCGTATACTAAAATTAGTAGTTTAAATAAGAAAAGATCTAATAAAAAGATTATAGATGACATAAAAATTTAAATACTAAGAAAATAGTTAAATGATAAAATTGTCCAGTATAAAATATGTTTTTAACATGTAAAAAAATATGATCAATATTTTGATTTTGGGCATCCGGAGAAAAAAATAAGAAAGATCTGTCAGTTAGTTGATCCTATTTTATATCTTCTATAATTAACATATGAATATATAGTTTTTCAAAAAAGAAAAAAACTCTTAATCTTCAAGGATATGTGTACTAATACTAAAAAGAAAGCATGATAACCTTAGAAATTAAGTAATAAAATTATAAAACTAAAATAAATTTTAGGTTACATAAATTGATCGAGACAATCGAGGACTTCTATAAGGATGTATTTCTTATATTATTGAGTTACCTAAATAGGATCAACAATCATCCTTTTTAGAAACATAAATTTATTCGTCAACTTCTACCTTACACATACATGAGACATAATTTTTTTATATAATATTTATGTGATATTTTAAAATTTAACTCGTTAAGATAACGTACACGCACTCTGAAACTAGTTTTCTTAAAATTATGCAATGCATTTTAATATACCATACTAAACAGTGAATACGAAATAATATATGCATTACTAACTTATACATTACTAAACGACCCCTAAATTTGTTCCAAGTTTTAGTAAAATATTTTCGTCACGTCTGGAATTTTCAAAATGGAAAAAAAATGTTACAAGGCATAAAAATAACCGCCGTCTGTGGGGATTGAACCCAAGACCACATGATTAAAAGCCACGCGTTCTACCACTGAGTTAAGACGTCTTGTACATTATCTTCTTCTATGCCTTTATATCTATTTGTTCTTGTTCTTCTTTACAATTACCGTGTGAATGTGCCCATCTCGTACCTCGCCACCACTAGCAAGAACCTTAAAGTTTAAGAGAAGGTTGATTGGAAATGCTTTTGATTATTTTTGTCTCAACATTTGATTATTTTTATTAGAGAATGACGGGGGCTAAGGAACAGATAATGGATGTTCGGTCGGTGGTGGAAGCAGTAACAGCCGCCGGAGATGATGTTGAGATTGATACTCCTCTCTATGTCGTTGAAAGCCTCTGTATGCGCTGTGGTGACAATGTACGAAAACCTTCTTTCTTCTTTTTGTTTCTTTTTATTTTGTGTATTTGGAAAAGTGCTTTTTCTTGTTTATTTTTGTGTTATTTCAGGAAAAAAATGCAATCTTTTTTTCTTCTTCTTTAAACACGGTAAATTTGCTTTTAGCTGAAGAGCGCGGTAAATTTGCTTTTAGCTGAAGAGCGTTGGTTAATTTGCTTTACATGGATTATTATTTGCTCTGTCTTTGCTATAAAGTTACAGCTTTGAGTAGATTTTGTGTTTGTTCAAGTCTTTTCTTTTTTGGGTTAGTCTGGGAAAGGAGAAACAGTGCAGTAGCTTTCTTCTTCTTGAATTTTCTGTAAGAGAATGATAAAAGGTTGATAACATGAAAATATACTGAATTGAAGAATGCATACGCGTTGGTTCGTCTCTTTACTTTTAGTACATAATTTATCCATTATATTCTATAAAGTTTGCCTTTTGGTAATAAATCGTGGTGCATTAAGCTCCCCTTCCCCTTTTGCAAGTTTCGTTAGAGCTACTTTAGTGAAAATTCTATTGTTTTTTTAGCTTTATATAATACTGCTCTTTGTCTAAGGATCTTATTGTTTCTTTTGACAGGGTACAACAAGGTTTCTCTTAACACTGATTCCACATTTTAGGAAGGTACTTGGCTTCCTTCCTCTCTTTTTTGAGGTGGTGCCTAGCTTATAGTTGTAAGAAAAAGATGTTTAGGTTGGTGCCTAGCTTATAGTTGTAAGTAAAAAGATGTTTAGGTTTCAACCTAAACCAGAGTTTTGATTGGTCAATATTTTTCTAGAATTGAATAATACAAATAAGAAGATAATTCTGATCAGTAAGACATATTGTTATTGTCTAGTATTGATTTCATTTCACATAATCAAGGTCTAATCCTTAACAAGCACTATTATTACCAGTATTTTGTTGATATTTGAAAAACCCAAAAAAACTCCAGAATGTGGTGTAGAAGTAATAGCTTCTTGAAAAATTGAAAATTGTAGTTTGTGTGCGACTCTTGTTTTCACCTTCTCTATTTTTCATCAATGATTGTTATTCTAAAGGGAAACTAAATATTCTTCCAGATATTATTGTCAGCATTTGACTGTCCCCATTGTGGTGAAAGGTAAGGCGTTTCATTCCCGAAGACATTAGAAGTTGGAGTAACTTTCAGCCCAATTACCTACCTTACCCTGTTTTTCTGCCTTTTCATTCCCTTTCTGAAGAAATAATGAAGTGGAGTTCGCTGGTGAGATTCAGCCTCGAGGATGTTGCTATAGCTTGCATGTTCCATCTGGTGATCAAAAGGTATTGCCACGAGTTAGGATTTCAAGATGAAACTCTATTGCATCTGTTGACGTTGCTATATGCTGGTAGATAATGTACTATTTGCTGGTAGATAATGTACTAAGTTGCTATATGCAATAAACTCGGTAGTTCTATTGCATTTTTCATTGAACATGGACTATCCTTTCTCCACGAAGTTCTCAGGTAGTTATTGAAGTAGCATAATGTCTTGTGGTTGCTATACAGTGCGTAGTTGCATACTTGATTCTCTTTTTAATTTGTGAGAAAAAACTTTCTTGCCAGTGCTAGAGAGCTAGTAGACTTGATCAAAATCGTTGAGCCATCTAGAATTGAAACATTGAAGTTGAGATAAAATAGGGGGTAAGCAGTTGCCTATGTTGCAATGGCCTCTGGAATAAGGGGGTAGTTGTTCTCTCGTGATGTTTTTGTGATACTTTTGTCATTCTTCTTCTGTTTCCAATGTCATTCTTTTAATTTTAATTAGTGATTTGACATGCTTTGCACTGTGAAGCCAATTGTGTTTAGGGTCTTTGTTTTAGACAGTTCTATGGATAACATTCATGTTTTTCAACCATGTAGCTAGGTTATTCCACTTTGCTGCTTCTTTTCTACATGCTCTTTCCTACTAAAAGGGAATAGAATTGTAAAAAGACTAGGTCTTTGCATTCATACAGCGCTATTAGTCCTCGCTCATGCTGGGATGTAAACCTGGGCCATCCGCTGTAGAGAGTCTATGCTATTTCACGAGTTGCAAGAGAAATCAGTTTGATCCCATGAAAGGTAGATTGGTTGATGTCGTTTTTGAAAATTGTGGGTAGAATTGTGCAATATCCCTTTTCAAAGAGAATTTGGAATAGTTAATCCGTGATTTGCTTTGACCTGGATGGGGAATTGCTTGGAATCTAGAACATACCTAACACTTGTTTCTTCCTAGCTCAAGATCATCAGAGTTGGTAACTGGAACTAAGTTGGCTCTTACTAAGGAGGAGAAAATCTAGTTTATCTACCAATGTTTTGTGTGGAAGAATGTAGTTTGGAGTAGAGACCTTCCTTTCAGAGGAAAATATGAGAGGATAGTAAGTAGTTCATTGGCTTCCCCCTATCTACTTGTAGACGTGCTCTTCTCGAGCCATTATTCAGTTATCCTTAATAATATAAACCTGATACAGATACTATATGCTGGATGAGCAGACTTATTCTTTATCTAAGACTTAATCTTTAAGAATTTTCTTTCTGGAAGTGCTACACACAACCAAGAAAAGGCACTTAAGCAATCCTAACAATGTGTTCAAATTCGCTAATGGAATTGTTGATAGGGACAAACAGCAGTAACTACAAAAATGCATGATTATTCAAGATGTTGCTTTCTTTGAAGCCTCTGGTTTTTATCTATTTCAGATTGCTTTATGCATATTTTTATGGAATAAAGAATGTTGTGTGTCCTGGGGTGTTTTAAGGTAAAGATAACTTTTAGTTTAACTCTGCGCAAGTGTTGAATTACTGGTATTTTCAAACTGCAGATGCTCGACAGAACAGTTGTGAAGTCTGAAAGTGCTACCATCAAGGTACTTTATTAACCTCTCTTGTAACTTGTTAGGGTTTCGACATGTACACTGTAAGTAAATCTATTAAATTTCCATGTTTGATTCCGTTGTAACCAGATACACGAATAGAAGATAATGCATCTTTTAGATGGATGCTTGTACACAACTGATTATTAAAGATGTGGCAATCAAGAACATGTAAAAGTGTAACTCGAAAAAAATAGCTTGCTTATCAAGTTATGGCTGTGCTGTGCAGATCCCTGAACTGGATTTTGAGATCCCCCCCGAAGCTCAGCGTGGATCATTGTCAACGGTATCTGCCCTTTTACTAGCTTGCCTCTATTCAGAAAATTATCCTGATGATTAAATCGTTGTTTTGTGCTTTTGTAACAATGTTCTACTAAAAAGAATTTAGGCACGAGTCGTCCAGAAACCTTCATTCTTGTCTTTAAGATTTTTCTTTTACATCCTAATAGTTCTGGGCTAGGATTTGGAGTTTATGGTTTTGTTGGGGATTCAAAAGACAAGGAAATAGGACCAGTGGTTGTTTGTTTCCCCAGCTGCAAATACAGCACACCTTAGAAAGGGAAGAAATACTTAATTGTTTGCCTCTTGTTCTAATAGATCCTCTCTGCGATGCATTACAGATAGAAGGCATACTGGTTCGAGCTGCCGACGGTTTGGAGGCCCTTCAAGATGAACGGAAGGTGGAGTTTTACTTTTGGTTTAGAGGCTCACGCACATTGGTCTTGTCTTTTCTTTCTTCTATATTTTTCGTGTTCTGATATTTCCATCTCATGGCGTTTGCAGAAAGTGGATCCCCAGATGGCTGAAGCAATAGATCGGTTCTTGATAAAACTGAGAGCTTGTGCTTCAGGAGATTCATCCTTTACTTTCATTCTTGATGATCCTGCTGGTAACAGCTTTATTGAGAACCCGTAAGTGACTCATTTTATATGATAGAAAGTTTCTGCTGTTGCCCTATCTAGTTATATATTGGAGAGATTCATGCCTATAATGGAAAAATAGTGCTGTATAAAAGATGATATATCATGGTTTAGTCACGGGCACTAGCACTATGTTGGTTGCTATGACCTGAAATTTCTGAACTTTCCGTGGATGAGTAGAACCAAATTACTTTGGAGTGTAAATTAGGAACTAGCCGTTAGTCTTCCAAAAACGAAAAGCATTACCACATGTGCATATATAGGCATAAAATATACCATCAATACAGATGAAGAAATGACTGCAATCAAGCGTTAGAAGAAAAAAAAAACACAAATACGACTCAAACATCTAAATTGAATTGCGGTATAGTGCTGTCTCTTTTTTACTTTCTGATCAAGATTTTGTTCCATATTTATTTTGTTGCATGTTTTGGACCTTTTGGTTAACAATTTATGGTTGTTATTAAAAAAATTATCTTTTACTTCAAAGAACAATTGTAACTCACGTAAAAGCGAGGAAGTGAATTACGGCCCCATTATTGTACAGTAGTGTGTGAAGCAAATGTTCGAACTGGGTAACATTACAGTACAAAATAAAAATCAAGTAGATAATTAGTACAGTACTTGCTAGATGATAGACTTGTTTAAGTGGTACTGTTATTGTTATCCCATGTCTTCCATGTCGCGGGTACAAAACCTAAAACTAAAGTAAGTATGCTGAGCCAGATTCAAAATTCTGCACAAGACCCAAATCACATAAAATACAAAAGTTTGAGGTGCAACCTTTTACACTTAATAACTTCTTCATCTAAAAGTTGAGTTTAGGTTGTAATGTGACTGATCTTTTGCTGCCTTATGCAAACTATCTTTGTTCATTGATCAATCAATTATTGAACTATGGCTCAATGCAGGTTGGCTATATGAATCCGCTGTATCCAATGTGCTCTTTCATGTCCATTTCATCTCAAAACTGCATTTGCTAGTATGACAGTTAAAAAAAGTATAAGTAGGTCCATTTCACTTCAAAGCACCTTTGTTAATATGTGGTTTAAAAAATGAGTTGGCTTATCTTTGCTAATCTCTATCCAATCTGCTCTTTTCGTGTCCATTTCATTCCCAAACTGCAATTTTTAGTATGGCGGTAAAAAAGTATAAGTAGGTCCATTTCACTTCAAAAGCGCCTTTGTTAATATGTAGTTTTAAGAAACATACAAGTAGGCTTATCTTTGCTTCACTTTGCTCCGTTCTATTATTGTTAGTCTTATGCTCAGGTGAATGCCTATCTCACAGGCTAGCTCCATCTCCTGATCCCTCATTGAAAATCACATTCTATGAGCGAACTCCTGAACAACAGGCAGCTTTAGGGTATCTTGCGGACCCATCACAGGTTGGAGGACAAAGGGATGAGGTATCAACTGAGGGGATAAATAATGTTCCTCATCACCTGCTAAAGGAACCACATGGATCAGTTGGAGCGAGAGCAGGACGTCAGGCTATTGCTCAGGGTAACAGTGCAGAAATAGCTGAAGCTCTATTTCGATATTCAGCTCCTGAAGAGGTATCCTGCAGTGGTTACTTGCATTTATATCTGTCCCCTTTAAATTTCTTTGTGATAGCTTCCTATTTTTGACAGGTGATGATGTTTCCATCAACTTGTGGAGCATGCGCTGCGAGTTGTGACTGTAGAATGTTTATTACCAGTATCCTTTTCTACATTTACACAATAGATAACCCCATGATTTCTCACTTCCACCCCACACAGTCCCTTGCCACATAATTGAAGGGAAATATTAACAGTTGCATTTGTTGTCCATTTGTTTATTTATATTTGTTACAAATTTATTTAGTTCTATCAGGGCATCTGCCTCTTAATTTATCATGTGGTGTTGCAATCATTGACAATTGTATGAGCTTAAATGATTTAATGTTATAGCTAATAATTTCAGTTCTTGGAGGATCCCTGCATGTCTACAACAACAACAACAACCCAGTATAATCCCTCTAGTGGGGTCTGGGGAGGGTAGTGTGTACGCAGACCTTACCCCTACCATGGGGTAGAGAGGCTGTTTCCGATAGACCCTCGGCTCCTTCCCTCCAAGAACTCCCCACCTTGCTCTTGGGGTGACTCGAACTCACAACCTCTTGGTTGGAAGTGAAGGGTGCTCACCACTAGAGCAACCCCTCTCTGTTATTAAATCTCCGTAACAGAGAGACAACCTAAAAAAGTTAAATAATCTAGATGGGACTTTGTACCAAGACCGTCAGCTTCTTTAGAATGATTAGATGTAAGTAAAGAGATTTAATTGATGTCTTTTTCATCATGGAAAACTGTATTGTGATTTTTTAATTCTCTTTAATGGAGTTGCATAATTTTGTCAACATAAAGAATTAATTGGCTCCCAGTTTTAGTTTTTTTTTTTCCCAAGACAGAGTTCCAGTTGGTGCATGGCGGTGCTTTTTCTGTAGTTTTGGCTTTAATTAATTTATCTTTGTGATTTAGCATTTTTTTGTAAGAATATCGACTGTCATCTGCTGCAAGCTATTCTGCTTCTATGGTACTTGTTGAACTTAACCACATAAAGATATTCCATACTTTCAAGAAGTAATAGTTATGGCATCCTCTTGTGATGCTTGTGGTTATCGCAACTCTGAGGTAATCATTGTCACGTGCTAGAAAAGAATAGCTTATGAAATTTATAGTAATGATGAGATTATACTCGTCTTTGCAGCTGAAACCTGGTGGTCCTATATCTGATAAGGGAAAGAAAATTAAGCTTCATGTGGAAAACATTAAAGACTTGAGCCGTGATGTGATTAAGGTATAACTCTCCTGCCTATATTTGACAGAAATACTTGCTAATTATTTGTTATCCAATTTTACTTTATTTATTTATTTATTTTGGTGATCTCTCATTCATTCTGCAATTCCCTTGTAGGAGCAACATTTAATTTTACTTTTAGAATTGCTCTCATACTGCCAACTTTATAGAGAGGAATTCCATAAAAGACGAGATCAGTAAATGACAATTCATTGAAATTGCATCTTTGTGAGACTAAAGATATATTTCATTTCCCTACTATAAGGGAGAATAGGCTAGAAGTCCTTTCGGCCCCTTGTGACCGTGAATTGAATGAATAAATGGAATATTGGATAAAATAAAAAAATAGTTTAACGAACAGTTCGAACTCGCTGGCTGACTCGATCTGGGACCTTGGCCTTATTCTAGAATATTCAAAATAATAGTATTTAATAGTTAATAACTAATATTCCAATAGTTTAGTCAAATACTACGCATGGTTAGAGCATCGCATTTGTAGTGCGATGGTCATCGGTTCGATTCCGATAGGTGGCTTTTTCCTATTCTTTTTTTTTTTTTTAAATTCAAGTGTTGTATGCTTCATCAGTCCGATCCTTTGTAGGACCTACCAGTTATAACAACAACAACAAACCCACTAGTTTCCCACAAGTGGGGTGGGTAACGCAGCCTTACCCCTACCCCTGGAAGGGCAGAAAGGCTGTTTCCGATAGACCCTCGGCTAGAGAACGACTGAAAAGAAAAGGTAATTGCAACAAGTAGGAATAACAACAAGATGAAATAAGATTGAATCCAAGAATGCAGTCAAACTCTAGGTAGTAATAGCCATTTATGGATAAAAGATATCATACTAATACTAATTAAGACAAAGAGAAACACTTGACTACCTACGAACCTTCTACCCTAATCTTTGACCTCCACACCCTCCTGTCTAGGGCCATGTCCTCAGTCAGCTCCAGCTACGCCATGTCTCGCCTAATAACCTCTCCCCAAGACTTCTTAACCCTACCTCTACCCCTCCTGCTACCCACCGAGGCTAACCGCTCGCACCTTCTAACTAGGGCTTCTATACTTCTCCTCTTAACATGCCCGAACCATCTCAGCCTCTTGCCCGTTATAACGAACTTGAAAAATGGATCTCTTTACCATAAAAGATTCGTCGTTGCTGACCGTGCTTTTGTGCCTTCTCTCTAGCAGAATGCTATCTATTCACAGATATATGTTTTGGTAGCCCTTGTTAAAAAAAGTAAGGCAAAACGACCTCGTAGCCACTTAAATTTGCACCAGTTTGCCATCCCGGTATATAAACTTTCATTTTTTCCATTTGGACACCTTGATGAACTGAATACTAATAAACACATCCGACTGAACGTGTTCTTCACTCTCTGTGACATGATTGACACGTCACATACTAAGCCTTTATTCTTTGACACATGTAAGTTGTGGGTTCCACTTTTAAAAAAAAATTCATTTTACCAGATTTTTTATTTATTTGCTTTCTCTTTCTCTTTAAAATAATCAATTTTTGTCTTCTTAGTAGTAGTAGTAGTAGTAGTCAAAGCTCCTGCAACTCCACCACCATTCCACCATATTCAACACTCGGCCATCCTTAATTTTTTTAATTCTCTTCATCTCAAAACTCTCTTCTCAAAAGACCTCCTAAATCAGTAAAATCAGCCATTTCCTCAACGAGTCACCATTGAAAGGCCGAAATTTTTTATTTGTCGCGAATAATCCCTAAGACAAGAAAAAACTAAAGATGATTTTCATTTTAATTTTTCTCAGTGAAGCTTTTAATGAAGAAAAATGGTTGTCTATTTTGATTCCCAAGGATGGTGTCTTTTTGGGTATCTTTTCAGCAGTTTTAATGGGAAGGAGACACAGGGAGCCAACCCATTGATTTATTCGAAGCATTTTTATGGAAAATGGATGCTTCACTGTTGTACTGTGAAGAGCTTGGAAGCTTTTAATTTAATGGAGATAAAAAAAGGAAAGAAGAAGAAAGGACCACGTGATGTGGGGGAAAATAAAAGAGGGGGGGGGGGGCAGAAAAAAGAGTAGTAAAGAGAATGGGGTGTCGGATGAGTATTTGTAAAAGTTTTTATTTTCTATTATTTTTACAATTTGCGTGATATGCACACACTATTGCCACATCACTTATATTATTGTCACATAGGCTTGGTCAATGGTTAGAGGTATTTAGTAGTACTTATTTTATTGAGTTGAGGTGTTCAAATGGGAAAGATAAAAGTTTGTTTACCGGGATGGAAAATCGATACAAGTTTAAGTGGCTACGAGGCCGTTTTGCCAAAAAGAAATCCAAAAGCGATTTTAAGTAGAAAACAACCTGCTGAAAAGCGGGATATTTTATATAAAAAAAGTAAAGTCATTCTTCTATATTCCAATTTTTTCCAGTTTGTCAGCCCCTACCGATAAGTCATCGAAGGGATCTTCAATCAAATATTGATGGATATACCTCATCTACATGTTTCTCTTCATGTCATTTTGCCATTCAATTTGGAATATTTCAAAGGTCAATTGTTTGCGTGAAAAATGGAATAGTTAACATTATTAATTTTAAACTCTCCCATGGTGATATAATATTTACAATCCCCATTCCACCTAAAATTCGGGGAATTCAATAAATTCATAGACCCAGGTCGACTGATCGTTTTCAGTTTTTGTCCAATCAAAAATGGTTTTATCATTTCGGGATCTTCAATCAAAAATTGATGGATATACCTCATCTACATGTTTCTCTTCATGTCATTTTGCCATTCAATTTGGAATATNTAATTTTCGCCTAAAAGTGGAGGAATGTCTCAGCAGACGGGTTGATTCTCTGTCGTTGCCGTTCTTTGGATCTTAATCCTGTTTAATAACTTTTCTATTTAGTCTGTTATATTTGACTATAGATAGCACATTTACATGCTGCTTTCACATGTAACATGTACTTCTCAAACTTTGAAGATCATGATTACAGCAACAACAATAAACCCAGTGTATTTCCACAAGTGGGGTTTGGGGCGGGTAGTGTATACGCAGACCTTACCCCTACCTTTAAAAAGATAGAGAAGATCATGATTAGTAAAAGCAAAGTTGTGCAATGATGTAAAGTATCCAGCCTGTTGGCATGAATGCCAAGATTTGATTTTTCTTGTCTGGAAGTTGGGACTTTCCATTAAAAACATTTTTTTCCCTTGCGGATTGATTGATACAGCATTTGAGAGCATGCTTGAAGAACAAGGATGACACAGTATCTGAAAATGGAATACATTTCATGCTTATGACCCAAGATTATAAGACTTGTTTTTAGATAGCCGCAAGTAAAAGCAAAAAAAAAAAACATGTTGGCTGGCAAAGAAAAAGTCAAAAAACTAAAGAACAAACAACATCAACTTCCTACATTCCAACATCAGGTCAAAGAGAATTGTTTTTTCACGACATTAAGACTAGCAAAGCACCCTGGCACCCAAGGGCAAGGGTGTGGCCTAATGGGCAATGAAGTCGATGAGAACTTTGCTGACCGGGTTCAAATTCCAGCCGAGATAAAAATATTAGGTGATTCCTGCCCATCTACCTAAACCTTGGTGAGCAGAGTTACCTAGTCCCTGGGTTGATGGGACTTAGTAGGTACCCGGTAGAATAGTCGAGGTGCGAACATTACTGTTATCCCCCCCCCCCCC